TGCCATTTTCTTCCCCAGGGAACCTTCCCAAAACAGGGATCGAATCCATGTCTCCTGCATCTTCTGCATTGCTAGGTGGATTCTTCACCTAACTGTGCCACTGAGAAGCCCCAAGAGAACAAATAATTGACTTTGCTCTTTTGTTCTCAATGCGACAATTTCTACATGATAAATTCTGGTAAAATTTATTATCCTATCTCATTCATCCTAAAAGAGATTATTTTTTAACACACTAAAAAGTTTTTTTTTTTGCTCTTGTCAGGCAAACTAATTTTGCTTTCTCAGAATTGGTCATCATATCTAAATTCTGAATTAGAGATAAGGCTGTCATCAAAAGAACACAGTGACTCAGTAGCTGTCCTCCCAGGACTTCAGACGTGAGGTGTGGAATGGAACTAGTAACCTCCTTCAATGTCAGAAAGAACAAATCTCTCAGACTCTTAAAATGGCCTAAAAATTGGCTCATTCTGCACTTCAATTTTACTCTTGGCAAAAGTACAAATTTAGAAAAAAGTTGTCTTGGAAATGTACAAAGTAAGAAATACAGTGTGGATTCTGAAGGTATTTTAAGGATAACTGTCATTTCAAATGAAAGTTTCAGGTTAGGTTTCAAGGGAAAGTTGGCAGCTAATTAGCTTCTCACCACTGTGACATACAAGGTCAAATATCAGAATGGCTACTTTTTATATCATGTTATGAAAAGGATTTTGTGCTTTGGGGTGTACTCCTTAAGTATATCCAGTTAAAGTGGTACCTTGGCAAAAAAGACAACTGACATTAAATATAAGTGGAGAGATAATAGAGGAGATATGGACTGACATCTTCCATCTCACTCCCACCCTCATACTCTCCCTTATCAAAAGGTAATCTCTTCAATCAAACATACCAATAGGTAAAGAGGAAATTTTAAATATATACATATAAAACTCTTAGAAAATTCATGACAATTTCAGAACTGCAAGTTACCTTGCTTATACTATCTTGTCTTGCTAAGCCTTGTATTAATACTATTAAAATAATATTAATATTAGATTATTGATTTAATAAATAAAGTAATTCATATATTGATTCAGCAAATTTTTGTGAAATGCCTATTATTTTCTAGGTGCTATTTTGGGCACTACTGATGCTGAGAGGAAAAAAAAACAAAAGCTTTGCTCTCCTGGAGCTTACTTATGGTAGGAAAGGCAGAAAAGAATCAGACAAATAGATATAGATCCCAATATCACATAATGACAATTTAATCGAAATGATGTAGGTGAGGAATGAGAGACTCAAGGAACTCTTTAGCTTGGGTGGTCAGGGAGGGCGTCCCCAAGGAAGTAACATCTGAGGAGCGAATTTTTCATCCAATCATTTGAAAATATTTATTGAATATGCAATATGTGTATGTCACTATGATTGCTACTCAATATGTGTAGGTCACTATGATAGGGTTGTAGAATAAAACACGATCCCTGATTTCTGTGAACTTACATTATAGCAGAGGAGCAAAGACTATATAATATGAATTAAATGTTGTGAGTAAAATGTAAATTATGTAAGAGATCAGAAGAGGGATATATATCTTTCAACACTAGTTATTAAGGAAGCCTACAGAACAAGATAGGACTTAATGAATGGGTGTATAGACAGGTAGTGTGGGTATGTGTGTGGAAGGAAATCCACGGAGGGATGGAAGAGCCCACTGTGAATAAAAACAAAGCAGCTAGAAATGCAAAGCCTATTTAGAGAGCAGTATATGACCAACCTAGATAGCATATTAAAAAGCAGAGACATTACTTTGCCAACAAAGGTCCATCTGGTCAAGGCTATGGTTTTTCCAGTGGTCATGTATGGATGTGAGAATTGGACTGTGAGGAAAGCTGAGCACCGAAAAATTGATGCTTTTAAACTATGGTGTTGGAGAAGACTCTTGAGAGTCCCTTGAACTGCAAGGAGATCCAACCAGTCCATCCTAAAGGAGATCAGTCCTGGGTGTTCATTGGAAGGACTGATGCTGAAGCTGAAACTCCAGTACTTTGGCCACCTCATGCGAAGAGTTGACTCATTGGAAAAGACCCTGATGCTGGGAGGGATTAGGGGCAGGAGGAGAGGGGACGACAGAGGATGATATGGCTGGATGGCATCACCGACATGATTGGCATGAGTTTGAGTAAACTATGGGAGTTGGTGATGGACAGGGAGGTCTGGCGTGCTGCGATTCATGGGGTTGCAAAGAGTCAGACACGACTGAGCGACTGAACTGAACTGAACTGAAAAATATTGCTTAGGTCTTCTTGAGTGGCACAGGTGGTAATGAATTCACAATGCACAAGATGCAGGAGATGCAGGTTCAATTCCTGGATCAGGAAGATTCCCTGGAGGAGGAAATGGCAACCCGCTCCAGTAGTTTTGCCTGGAAAATCCCATGGACAAAGGAGCATGGTGGGATAGAGTCCATGGGGTGGCAAAGAGTCAGACACAGCTGAGCAACTAAACACACACATGCACACACACATGAGTACTGATTGGCTTGAACATGAGATGTGCTTCAGAAACAACCTCTAAATACTCTGAACAGCTTAAAAGAGCTCCTGCAAGCAGGGAATCCTTTTGAAACCTTGTATTCTATCTATAAAATCCAGGCGAATTTTCCTTTCTATTACATTTATTCATCTATCCTTATTTTAATATAAAAATAATTCTCCCAAACTCTTTGAGTAAAATGAACACTTACGAAGGCATGCCAGTTTTACCTGTGGTTTCCAGTAGCCCTGTCAAACATTTGACTGGACATTCACATTTCACTTTGAAAACCAAGGACAGAAGAATAAAGGGAAAATTTCTAAAAGAGTTGATTGGATCCAAATATTATTGGGTCTCAAATAATAGGTCCATACATTTGGTTTTTGTCATATAAGAAGTGGAAAAACTAAGAAATATTTTTTTTAACAGGATAGTAACCTTATCTTTTTGATCATGCTGTTTTCCCACACTGCTTGGAGTGAATTCCTCTTTCAAATCTTACCCATCTATTAGGGTTAGGCTCTGTAGGCTCTCTACCCTATAGCACCATGAGCAGGGACTTTTATGGAGAAACAAGAAATGTTTGTAGAATGAATGTATATGAAGAGCTCCTGAATGAAATGATTAATCTGGTAGCAGGATGAAGGATGTACCAGAGGTGGGTAGCCTAGAGACAGTGAAATTTGTTGAGAGTCCTTTGCAATTGTTGCCATGAGCTAGTGAGTGCTAAGCCAGGAAGCCGTCATTGATTATTTAAAATAAAAAGGAAGGAATGAATATATAACATCACAGAGGCAGAACCTGAGGATTTTATTTGACTAAGGAAGAGAAAGACAAGCAGGAATTTGGAATTCTGGTCTATTAACCAATTTTGGGAATTTACTGAGTCCTGTGGAGGGAAGGTAGAAAATTTAGATTTTTTATATTAACGGATGGAAACTATAATGAACTGTCAGCTGTCAAGTGAGAATAACTCAACACTGGAAAAAGTCATGAATGAAGATAGAGTTAAGAGCCATGTGTATAGAAGTGAACTGGAAATTATGGTGGTATACAAAACCCCTGAGCCAGCCCTTTTGATCAGAGAGAGGGGAGAGGAATGATGGTCAACAGTGTCCATATTGAAAGGAGAAAGAGACAGACGGAAGGCGGAACAGAGAACAAGGAGTGAAAGGTCAGGGAGCAGGAAGAGAAGCAGGGCGTTTGGAAACAGAAGAGTTTTCCAGAACAAACTCATCCATCAGAGGGTGAGGCGTTGGCAGGGCAATTGGGAGACCTTTAGTGTGAGTGAAACAGAAGCAAGATTTCAGAAAATTGAAGAGAGAATGTGGGCGGAGACCCCAAGCCTGGGGTTACAAATGCCCCTTTGAAGAGAGTGTGGCTCTAGAAGTGGGGAGAGGCTTGCCAGAGGCTGGTGGCCAGAGTTCCGTCAAGAGGAAACAGGGTGTTTCTATAACTTGATGCCTCCATCATGTAATTTTTAAGCTCCTCCTTTCCTCCCCAGGCATCAGGCATTTCATTCTCTGTCCTCTCAGATCTGTCCTCAAATTCACCAGTAATGCCTCAGGATACTGATCTTTAATTTTATTTTTTTTTTTATTTTTTTATTATTTTTTTTATTTTTTTATTTTTTTTTTTTAAATTTTTATTAGTTGGAGGCTAATTACTTTAAAAACTACTATTTCTCTTGAAAATATCTTTGTCCTCCATCCCATTCCTTTGAAGCTGCACTTTCAAGGGTTCCACAAACAGTTCCTCAGGATGCCGTATGAGAAAGGACTCCGCGGTCAAGTAAGTCTGGAAAATGCCACAGGGAATATAAACATGTCAAATATCCTGGATGAGCTGATGAAAAGAAACTTTAATGATTTTGTCTAAACTATCCAATAGCACTTGTTCACAGACTCTGCTCTTTTGTATTGTTACTGCCACGAAACTCGTAGTGGTTCCAAGTTGGAGACATTTTGTTTTAGGGTCTTGGTATTGGATGATTAATCTGATAAATGCACACATGTTTGGTATTAATGATTGTGAAAGGAAGATTAACCTTCTATATTCATAATTTACCAGAGAATTTAAGAGAGACTTCAAAAGGAAGTTCAGTGTTGGGATTTAGCCTTATGGATGACAAGTAGGGATAAAGTTTTGGATAGCATCATCTTTTTTTATTTTTAAAAAAATATTTATTTATTTGGATGTGCCAGATCTTAGTTGCAGGATCTTCTATCTTTGTTGTGGCACATGGGATATTTTTTAGTTGCAGCAGGCAAACTCATTAGTTGCAACATGTGGAATCCAGTTCACTGATCAGGAATGGAACCCAGGCCCTCTGCACTGGGAGCGTGGAGGCTTAACCATTGGACCACCATGGAGGTCCTCAGCATCATCTTTTAGACTTCTCAAATCATGCTATTCAACTGTTGGATACTCCATATTTATATCACTTTTATATCCACGGCTAAATGCTATATCCTTTTTTGTTTTTTAACTAGGTCTATTACTGTGTTTCGAAATCAGAACTTCAATCAGTTTTTCATCCAGCCTGAAGAATGGAAGGGAGGAATTCAACACCATGATGATATATTATGTGCTGCATTTTTACCTCCACAAACTCTTGTTACAGGTTACTTGGATGTTCATTTGACAATCAGTGGTGAAAGTAGTAGTTTCCTTTGCTTCACTTTGAAAAAGCCTTTTCGCAACTACAAAATAAACAGGTTTCTTAAAGAAGCTGTCTCTGTACTTTAAACTAACTCAGGTCCTTATTTTTAGGGCTGTACAACAGTGGTTACAAACATCAGCTCTGAAGCCTGGCTACCGGGCTTCAGATCCTGGTTCTACAACTTGCCACTTCCTCATATTGAGCAAGTTATTTTGACTCTAAAATGCCATTTTCTCTGGCAAATAATAATTTATCAGCATGCTGGTTTATAGTGAGGATCGCATAAGATAATCTGTGTATGGGTTTAACCCAGTGCTTACAATAAGCCCATCAGTAAATACTAGCTTTCATTTTCATTGTCCTTTTCTGAGGAGCAACGCCAGAGTTGTTGGGTACAAATCACATTTCTGTTGCACTCAGATCTTTCATAACAGGAACACCCTCTGGGCACAGTTTACTCTAAGTAATGTTGGTTAAAGACTGGTCTCACAAAAAGTCTATAAATCCAAGCTCTTGACAGGATCCATGGGCATACTTTGATGTGGCATATTAAAGAGGATCAGAAATTATTGAATTATTTCCAGCCAAAGAAAACAATTTATAAAGACAGGTTGCACCATGAAATTATAAAGTCCATATTTTGACAGCCTGATTTGTTTTATAGAACCAAAAGTGTCATTAATTAAGAGGAATGAAAAATTACAGGAAAAGAGCTTGGATATCTATGAAATGTTACCATATGAGGTTTCCTGCTTTATCTACACTTAGAGTTTTGTTGTTTTCAGAACTTCCAGGAGGGCCAACTCTACAATTGAATTTGCTCTATTGCTGCTGGAAATCTACCCTGTAGCACGTACCATATTCTGAAATGTGATGAAAATAAGTATTGCTGTGTAGTTGATATTGTAGAAGTGTCATAAAATACCATTGTTATTGGGGAATAAATAATCTCTTCATTCACTTTCATTCCTTCAATCCTACGTGAACATGCTCGGTCAAACACTTTGCAAGTGAAACATTTTAAAAATGATAGGAGAAGGTGGATATTCCCAGGAACAGCTAACCCGTGGAAGCTTATCATCTTTGGCCAGCTTGTGAGTTACACAGGTTGGCTCTCCAGGACAATACAGAGTGCAGTAAGCATTACTTTCTTTCCTCTCTGAATCCCAAGAAGGACACCATCAGTATATACCACTCAGTTCTTGTCTTTTGCTCTCCTCTTGATGTTGGCACTCTGCTCACTAGGGAGCTCTTCTCACGGGGCTGCTAACAGTGGTCTGGGTATGCGCTGCTCCTTCTAAAACCAGCTTAGCCAGACTTAGCCTCACTGTTTGGACTTTTCTATGTTTTCTGCATGGAACAGTGTGAAAGGACTTGTGTAGGGAAAGTTCTAGGATTGGAGAAAGCAACATTCAGTAAAGAACATAAAAGAGAAAAAATAAACAGAACACACCCAACAAAAGAACAGATGTAGGAAACAGAAACCTAGAAGGAAAATTCGTTTGCCTTCAATAATAAACAAATAATATAGCAGTTATTAATACTATTTCAGTATTTGTAATATTCTAGGCAGTAGGTGCTTTTCATTCTTCAGGCCATAAATTTATTTATCAGATAAATAAATTTATTAACCCATTTTTTAGGTGAAGAACTTGTGGCATCAAGTAAAGTTAAATAGCTTGCCAAGGTTACACAGCTGGTAGGCGGTAGAACCAAGACTCAAACTGATAAATTACAAAGCCTTTATTCTGAATCCTTTCTGACCACAGAATAAAAAAAGATATTACAACAATCTCTATTAAACTTACTGAATGGTATTTTGTGAAGTTTCCAATTTCTAAAGTTTAATGAAAACACTAGTAATTACTATTCATTCATGTCTTCAAATATATAGATAAAACTTACAAAGTGCCAGATTCCATGTAAGTTATTTTGATAATGATTTCTTCTAATTGTTGTTGCGCATATTTTCTATCTAACTTTCTGGTAATTTCTATTCTCTGTCTTGGCTCCTATAGGGAGTTATGATGGAGAAATTGTTTTGTGGAACAACAGCACAGAAAATGCTCACTATGTCCTTCACCCTGATTATCAGAGGCTGCTAAAATCAAAATCGGGTGAGTGCAAGTCTGAAACTCAAATAATGTGGCCTGGTTGTTTGTGCATGGGCCTGCTGCAGCTTGCTTCTGAATTATAGATGATTGGCTGTAAGCGCAAGGGATTAGTGATACCGTTGTCTTGTCAAAGTGACTAAAAAGAACCTTGAGATTTACTTGGCTTAGCAAATTCTCCATGGCTTGCTGTTCCTTTTCTTTATGCTACATCAGCGTTTCTGAATTACTGACAGCGGGGAACAGGACTCTCATTTTTATCTAGCTTATTTTTGCCAATAAACCTCGCCAAATTGCCTTTGAGTGAACCTTGGGTACTCCTTGGTAGGAAAATGGGAACTTGTGTTCACTTGATAGGCTGCTCAGGCTTAGTCTAGAGCTTATATTAAATATTATGCCACCTGGAAATCTTAAATTATTTCTTGCTTTAGAAACCTGTGTGGAGCATTAGATGGAATTGTATTGTATTTTATGGAAGTTTAGCAGAGCAGATGAATATTTTATGCTTAAGCAAAATGTCTTGACAATTGCCTTTCACATTTTATTTTAGTTTCCTTAGATACTAAAGGTTTTTCCTTAGACTAATTTATCTGGGTAATGAATATGTCATACCTCATGTCCCAGTGAGGTTCTGTTGTATCAATTGGAAGATTAATAAACAAATACTATAGTAGTTATTAATACTATTTCAGTATTTGTAATATTCTAGGCAGTAGGTGCTTTTCATTCTTCAGGCCATAAATTTATTTATCAGATAAATAAATTTATTAACCCATTTTTTAGGTGAAGAACTTGTGGCATCAAGTAAAGTTAAATAGCTTGCCAAGGTTACACAGCTGGTAGGCGGTAGAACCAAGACTCAAACTGATAAATTACAAAGCCTTTATTCTGAATCCTTTCTGACCACAGAATAAAAAAAGATATTACAACAATCTCTATTAAACTTACTGAATGGTATTTTGTGAAGTTTCCAATTTCTAAAGTTTAATAAAAACACTAGTAATTACTATTCATTCATGTCTTCAAATATATAGATAAAACTTACAAAGTGCCAGATTCCATGTAAGTTATTTTGATAATGATTTCTTCTAATTGTTGTTGCGCATATTTTCTATCTAACTTTCTGGTAATTTCTATTCTCTGTCTTGGCTCCTATAGGGAGTTATGATGGAGAAATTGTTTTGTGGAACAACAGCACAGAAAATGCTCACTATGTCCTTCACCCTGATTATCAGAGGCTGCTAAAATCAAAATCGGGTGAGTGCAAGTCTGAAACTCAAATAATGTGGCCTGGTTGTTTGTGCATGGGCCTGCTGCAGCTTGCTTCTGAATTATAGATGATTGGCTGTAAGCGCAAGGGATTAGTGATACCGTTGTCTTGTCAAAGTGACTAAAAAGAACCTTGAGATTTACTTGGCTTAGCAAATTCTCCATGGCTTGCTGTTCCTTTTCTTTATGCTACATCAGCGTTTCTGAATTACTGACAGCGGGGAACAGGACTCTCATTTTTATCTAGCTTATTTTTGCCAATAAACCTCGCCAAATTGCCTTTGAGTGAACCTTGGGTACTCCTTGGTGGGAAAATGGGAACTTGTGTTCACTTGATAGGCTGCTCAGGCTTAGTCTAGAGCTTATATTAAATATTATGCCACCTGGAAATCTTAAATTATTTCTTGCTTTAGAAACCTGTGTGGAGCATTAGATGGAATTGTATTGTATTTTATGGAAGTTTAGCAGAGCAGATGAATATTTTATGCTTAAGCAAAATGTCTTGACAATTGCCTTTCACATTTTATTTTAGTTTCCTTAGATACTAAAGGTTTTTCCTTAGACTAATTTATCTGGGTAATGAATATGTCATACCTCATGTCCCAGTGAGGTTCTGTTGTATCAATTGGAAGAACTCACAGAGACTGAATTAGATTAGGAAAGGACTGGTCATCAGATACAGTTTTGCATATGTGTGTGTGTATGTGTGTGTCTGTGTGTGTGTGTGTATGTGTGAAAAGCTGAGGGAGTAATTTGTTAGGAGGAAGAAAACTAACATAAGAAATTTGGAGTTTACTTGGCTGCAGACATGAAACTCTGACTTGCTTTATGTTTTCAATACAAAGAGCTCATCATTAGGGTTCATTTGAATCCTCCATTGAGAAAGTGGAATTATGACTCTTTGCTGCATCGGCCCTCAGGGGAGTAGTCTTGTTCTCACAGCAGACTTAATTGTGGCTGTGATTGAAAACACAGAGAGACAGATGGAAAAGAAAAGAAGATAATATCAAATTTTTAAAAGACACAAGAAGCATTGCTGTAGATTTCTTGCTTTGAATGTTTAGGTTCTCTGTATAGGTTTTTCATAAGTATGTTCAGACTATAGATTCTGAGATGAATATCCCCAGTTTTTATTAGTGTAATGTGAAGATGGTGTCATTAGATCATTGAAGTACCATTAGTGATATCCTTTTCAGGGTAACTCACTAACAAATAATATTGCTTAAAAATGATGATTTAAATACATAGTCATTATATCTCAAGTTCATTAAATTATTTACAAGCTTAATATTATTGATTAATAAGTTGAAAATGCCATGATATTAAGATCACATTTGTCTTAAACATATCAGTATCTCTAAGATGTTAGCAGGGACTACAAAATGAAGTCCCTATTAATTCATATCAAGGAAAAACACAGTAAACTTATATGGAGTATGAGAAACAAAAATGGGATCAAACTGTGAAGCTGAGGTTGAGGAAGTGAACTGTAGGGGGTTCCATGAATGTTGACTGGAAGCCCATTGTAAGACTTGGGATCATCAGAGACTGTGATGGGGGTGGCCTATTGTTTTTCATCTCTGTTTGAGGAGCAGATGTTTCTATTCCTTAAGTCACCTGGCTTGTCTCCATCTCAGATGCAGGGCCTCAAAAGCTTCTTGGTGCTGGGAGAAGCCCCTCTACCCATCCCACCTATGACCAGGCTACCCTGGGAGCCTGTTCCTTTGAGATGGACACTGAGTGCAATCATGCTGTTATGAGGCTTTGCTTCCTTGAAGCAAGAAAAAACATCACAGAGACAGGTAAAATATATATTTATATTTTGCCTATAGACTGCTTTGATATATTATAAAATGTTGGGGCAGGGAACAGTAAAGAAAGTTCAGTCTAATTCAATCTAGGTCTTGTAAAGTTTGACTGCATCTAGCAAACAGTCAGGACCAGATTACAGAAGTCACAGGCCATGGCCAACAAGCTTAAGGTTCAGGAGGATGGGTCCAGGAGCAGAAGCTAGACCAGACTCTGCCAGGAATTTATACCATGTTGTGTATGTCAGGATCAGAGAGAGAAAAACTCTGGGCAACAATCAGAATTGAAGAAAACCTGTGACAAACCTAGGCAGCATATTAAAAAGCAGAGATGTTGCTTTGCTGACAAAGGTCTGTATAGTCAAAACTATGGTTTTTCCAGTAGTCATGTATAGATGTGACAGTTGGACCATAAAGAGAGCTGAGTGCCAAAGAATTGATGCTTTTGAACTGTGGTGTTGGAGAAGACTCTTGAGAGTCCCTTGGCCAACAAGGAAATCCAACCAGTCCATCCTAAAGGAAATCAAACCTGAATATTCACTGGAAGGACTGATGTTGAAGCTGAAGCTCCAATACTTTGGCCACCTGATGCAAAGAACTGACTCCTTAGAAAAGATTAAAAGGCTGAAAAGATTAAAGGTGGGAGGAGAAGGGGATAACAGAGGATGAGATGGTTAGATGGCATCACTGACTCAATGGACATGATTGAGCAAGCTCTGGGAGTTGGTGATGGACAGAGAAGCCTGGCATGCTGCAGTCCATGGGATTACAAAGAGTCAGACATGACTGAGTGACCTAACTAAACTGAATCTAGCCATGGCATAAAGATTTGCTAGGTATAGGCCTCAGCATGGGCTCCCCTGGTGGCTGAGATGGTAAAGAATCCACCTGCAATTCAGATCAGGGTTCGATCCCTAGGTTGAGCAGACCCCTGGAGAAGGGAATGGCAACTCACTCCATTATTCTTGCCTGGGAAATCCCATGGATAGAGAAGCCTGGTGGGCTCCAGTCCATGGGGTTGCAAAGAGTTGGACACAACTGAGCAACTAAGTATATAAGCACAGGACACAGCATGAAATACGCTCCAAATACATGAGCCAAAGCCTACATGGGGTACAAGAGTTGCATCTGAGATGACCACACTGGCAGATGTTATCAACATGTACTAGGAGAAAATAGTGAGAAACTCAGAGATTGGAAGCTATAGTTAAATTTGAAATAGCTGCTGCTAATTGCTGATCCCAGGTCATGAGAACTGCCTGCTCTTTGTCTTAATATTTTTGGTGGGGGTTAGTAGGTAATGCTTTGGGTGTCTATACCAACTGTGCATCATTTTCAGAATAAGGCTGGTTAGAGCTGCTTCTAAGATACATGCTAACATATGATTTACCACAGTTATTTGATATTATAATAGATGAAATAACTATTTGCTTAATTTCCCTTTGTCTTCAGTGGTGATGTAAACATGGCATTGATGCAGCCTGCATCTTCCCCAGATAAAAATCTGCTTCTGAGAGCAATGCATATTTTTTACTTTTCTTCTAAAAAAATAATTTTTTTAATTTTAGAAGTATTTTTCCTTAATGTTAGGAATCTAGATCTATATGTATTATATAACTGAAAAAAGAGATAAACATATCTGAACCCTGTTTTCCATATTCACTTTCTCATATTCAATTTGAAGATGGAAAATCTGCATGATTTTCATGTAAAATTTTTCTGCATTAAAAATCAATAAAGGTATATACCCATATAGAGTTCTAGAATCATTGTGGAATATTTAGAATAGACCTTGAAATGGTTAGAATCTAAAACTTTCTGTTTTCCAGAATGCACCTACACTCATAAAATGAACTGTTATCCTGAAATTGCTCTCATTTCCTCAACACTAATTCTTCTTAATGTTATCAGTATTCCCAAATTGTTTCCACTGAAGCGGCTACATACCATTATTTCTACCTTAAACAGATATGATTGTTAATAGGCAGCTCATTTGTGAAGTAAATTGGAAGTCATCTACAGATTTATCAAATAATAATAGGAACTTTGCCACAGAAGAATAATTTAGGTAAAGTGCTTCTACATGCGTATAAAAATGGAAAATGAAAAGGTTAGTTCTAGGCCTATGAACCAAAAAAGTGTTCCATAAGGACTTACAATGATTTCTTGATGAAAGATTAAGAAGCAAGCTCATAAGTAGCATTCTAAGCATATGGCTGCATAGAGAAACCCATAGCTGTGCTAATGTAACTATACATATATGCATAGCCAGTTCTATGCATGAGGAATTTTACTACTTTGGTATATGTGTCTAATGGGTAGTTAAGAAAGATGGATTTTCTGTAATTGGACTATTATCAGAATGTTTAATATTTTGTAAGTTTGTCTGAAGTAACAGATCAATTTTATCAAAATTTTGAAACCCAAATAATACCAAAATAATGAATGAAGGAATGGTAACTAGATTTTATAGAACATCTTACGTATCCTATCTCACTTAATACTCAGCACAAACCAGTGAAGCTTTCATAGTGTATATTTGAGAGAATCAGAATGCTGGGAATTGATCTCAGGGCTACTCACCTCTCCGACATCCATATGCTTTCAATGAGGAAACTGATGAGAAAGTTGTTTCTTGTGTCTATAGTTTCCTAATTAGGTGTTCTCATATATTAGGGGGAGCCAACCTGGTATCATGTGGAGGATCTGGGTATGTCAGATTCTGGGATACATTTAAGAAGCAACTTTTGGCTGAATTTTTGGCTCATAGTGGAGTTGGTTCTATTATTATGTCTACTGATAAATCAAATCGATACCTCGCCACAGGAGATCTGGAAGGGTGGTTAAAAATCTGGAATATAGAGGTATGTTGAAAAAATTCTCACATTATCATTATTATTTTTGATTGTCTTTTGTTTCAGATAATTATGAATCAGGTCTTGTCTGTTTCTAGATAACGGAAGAAACATTCAATATTTTAAAGAAAACTTATGTATTGATCAGAGACTTCTTTAAATACTTCATGGAAAGAAACAGATTTTACTCAATATTGAAAATCCTCTATTAATATATAGTCAAGCCAGTCTCCCAATTTAGGAATGCAGTATTGTTAGTAAGGTACTGCAGCATTGTTTGAGAATAAATAGTTAAGATATGCCTCATTTTAAATGAGATAGTAAACATAATCTAAATAGTGTACTGGCCTTTTATCTAACATTGTCGTCATCCTGAGTTTGTTTGGGATTTTTTGTGTCACTGATTACCTGCTCAATTTTCTAATAATACTATAAAATTGTATAATATGTGACTACCTATACATGATAAAGTTCATCCACTTTATCTAATAGCTGACTTTACTGCTTATATTTTTCTATCCTTCCATTCCCCATCCTTCCTTCCTTTCTACTTCTCAAGTTAGTCAAATCAGTTAGAAACCTTTTCTTGAATGTGAATACTATTTTTCTAACCTCTGTTATCATGAGCTATTCGTTTGCATTTGTATCACAGATTGCTGTTCCCAAATGCACTTCTTTTCAATTTCTGTATCAGACTTTAAAAAAAAGTGTTATATCACTGTAATCATTTCGTATTTGGACATTTTAGAATTCTGGCGTGTCTTTTCATTCAGGAGTACTGTCTTAATTCCAGCAAGAACAAACTCACACAGGCCCCAACTCTGATAAGATCGTTCCGACCTCATGAAGACTGGATAAGCTCCTTAGAAATGTGTGAGCCGGGCGGCCGCTTGCTGATTCTCTCTGCCTCTGCAGACTGCAGCGTTTGTGTGACTGATGTCTGTGGTGTTCCTGTCCAGATCTTTGGTCAGGTAGAAATATTGCTTCTTTACTATTCTAATATTTACCTGACATTTAGTATGAACTTGGCCTGGTTTCCATTTGAATCTCATCGGCTATTAAAGTTCATTAGTCATGAAAGAAGTGACTTCCATTTCTGCAACTATAGCTCCAGGCCTCCCTTATTAACCATGGCAGTTCCATCAAGTAGAGGACACCGGAGACATGGAAAGATGGGGGACCTAAGTAGCTTAAAATATGTAAGGATTTCTAAGCAAAATTTCTCCTCCAAAATAAGTGGATCTCTTCAGTTTCAAAATTCAGTAGAAATACAGTGTGGATAATTATCATGCATTGCTATAAAATAGATGACTGTGACAGATAATAATCAGGCAACAATCAAATAGAGAAAATTAAAAAAAAACAGATCTATTGTGTTCACTGTCTGATTTATTCCTGCCAAAATCACATTCATTAATGTTTTCTGAGTTTTTCCTGTTCTAAGGTCTCTATATGCATGCTATGTTGCTTCAGTTGTGTCTGACTCTTTGTGACTCCATGGACTACAGCCCCCAGTCTCCTCTGTCCATGGGATTCTCCAGGCAAAAGTATTAGAGTGGGTTGCCATGCCCTGCTCCAGGGGATCTTCCTGACCTGGGGATTGAACCCTCATCTCTTGTGTCTCCTGCATTGGCAGGAGGATGCTTTACCACTAGTGCCACGTGGAAGCCCTACATGAATTATTTCATGTAATCTTTATAATTGCCTGTCTCATTAGAGAGGAATGCTCATTATTCCCATTTTACATGTGAGGAAACAGAGGCACAGAGAGTTTGAATCAATTGCTGAGCTCACAGACACTAGTAAGTGGTAGGGGTTTGGCTTTGAATTCAAAGTGAGTTATTTCACAGCTTATGTTTTTAACTTCTTCCTCCCATGAAACTAAGCTCTGATTTATATGAGCTTACAAAAAATGGAACCAGAGGTCATGGAAAAAAAGAAAATATTTATTGTCTCACGTTTCTTTTTTCCATTTGTTTTCACGGGAACTCAGTTCCGATTCCCTTTTGTTTGGGGGGCAATATAGCAGTTTGTTCTATTTGAACCAGTCTGAACAGTTTCAGACATAGTGGTATGAGCTCACCCAGGAACCTCAGCTTCTGTCTGGCTGTTTGACTTTCCTAGCCAGCAGCCTTGGATGCCACTTCATGCCTTGAGTATGGTGGTTCCCTTCTTGCTGGAAGACAATGTCTGTCATTGTTCCTTTTGCGGGTCAGCTTGAGGATGTCAACCTGTGCTGCCCCAGTTCCGTTCAGCCTTTGAGCACGTGGAGGGTGGCGGTGCATCAGAAAATGCTGGTAAATTGGTGGGTGGGTTGGCTGGGTAGTGTGGGAGTTGCCACGTGCCGCCCAAGATCTGTACAGCCTCTTCTGATCTGTAAATAAGGCAAGTGCTAGACTTTTCTTAGCAAAAAGAGTGTCTGAGTGGGAACTCAAATGGGTGTGTGGGCAGTGGTGGTGAGAGAGACAGCGTGGGGCACGGCTGGCATTCTGAACGTGAAAGGAGCCAAAAAGCTGTCTGGCAGCTCTAGAAGTTACTGCAATCCTGACACTGCTCTAGGGCCCTGCCGCGTGGGCTCTGGTGAAAGGAGGTACAACGAAAGCAAAAGTCACCTGGTAGGTGGTGTGTGGAGTATAATTCCCTTTTGTGTGTGTGTGTTTGTGTTAGTTGCTCAGTTTTTGTCCTACGCTTTGGACCCCATGGACCTTAGACGATGCTGAAGCAAGAAATAGGACTGTTCTAGGTATGGGTGACACAAAAACTGTGTCCAGAAAGCACAATCTGTGTGGAAATTTTATTCGAATTAAGAAATATGTGCTAGCAAAACTGTTCATTTGTACACCTTTGGTCATTTTCCATAGTTGTTTTATAAAGTCTTTTGTATTTCGAAGGACTTCAGCCTCAAAAAGCCTCCATGAAAATAGTTTGGTTTTATCCCTTCTGTTCAAGATAGGAAAAGAGCCACTACAGCCGGGTAGTTTTAGAAAGTAAAGGCTGGCAAAGCAGAGGACAGCTGGGTTTTCTAGGCCCTTCTGCCTGAGCTTTAATTTTTTTCTTTTTCTTTTTTTTAAGAGCTCACTGTTATCAAGCTCTTGGATTTGGTGCTGCTAGTTTCAAGGGCCATAGGAGGCAGTGGGAGGGGAGGGACATAGAACGGAGGGGAGGAAGAAAAAGGGAATTAGTAGATAACTGGAAAAAAGCAATAGTGAACCTTCTTCTCATAGTTTGAGCAGCGGCCTGCTTTCACAGAAAGATGGTAGGCAGAAGGAAATACTTAGATAAGAAGAGACTCCATTTGCAAACATGACTAGGGTCAGAACAATTTTCTCCTGGTCCAACTTGATTTGTACAGCATAGGGACCTTTGACCTATATTTGAATGTTGCCGTTGTCTTTCAGTTGAATTAATTTTGGTCTAGCAGTTATAAAAACAAAAGGAAAAGCAATCATGTATTTTAATTTCCTCCATGAAGGCTTCATCTTCTGATCTCATTCAATTTGATTAAAGTATTTAAAATTTCATGTAATTGTGGTTCATCACTAGTGCCACGTGGAAGCCCTACATGAATTATTTCATGTAATCTTTATAATTGCCTGTCTCATTAGAGAGGAATGCTCATTATTCCCATTTTACATGTGAGGAAACAGAGGCACAGAGAGTTTGAATCAATTGCTGAGCTCACAGACACTAGTAAGTGGTAGGGTTTGGCTTTGAATTCAAAGTGAGTTATTTCACAGCTTATGTTTTTAACTTCTTCCTCCCATGAAACTAAGCTCTGATTTATATGAGCTTACAAAAAATGGAACCAGAGGTCATGGAAAAAAAGAAAATATTTATTGTCTCACGTTTCTTTTTTCCATTTGTTTTCACGGGAACTCAGTTCCGATTCCCTTTTGTTTGGGGGGCAATATAGCAGTTTGTTCTATTTGAACCAGTCTGAACAGTTTCAGACATAGTGGTATGAGCTCACCCAGGAACCTCAGCTTCTGTCTGGCTGTTTGACTTTCCTAGCCAGCAGCCTTGGATGCCACTTCATGCCTTGAGTATGGTGGTTCCCTTCTTGCTGGAAGACAATGTCTGTCATTGTTCCTTTTGCGGGTCAGCTTGAGGATGTCAACCTGTGCTGCCCCAGTTCCGTTCAGCCTTTGAGCACGTGGAGGGTGGCGGTGCATCAGAAAATGCTGGTAAATTGGTGGGTGGGTTGGCTGGGTAGTGTGGGAGTTGCCACGTGCCGCCCAAGATCTGTACAGCCTCTTCTGATCTGTAAATAAGGCAAGTGCTAGACTTTTCTTAGCAAAAAGAGTGTCTGAGTGGGAACTCAAATGGGTGTGTGGGCAGTGGTGGTGAGAGAGACAGCGTGGGGCACGGCTGGCATTCTGAACGTGAAAGGAGCCAAAAAGCTGTCTGGCAGCTCTAGAAGTTACTGCAATCCTGACACTGCTCTAGGGCCCTGCCGCGTGGGCTCTGGTGAAAGGAGGTACAACGAAAGCAAAAGTCACCTGGTAGGTGGTGTGTGGAGTATAATTCCCTTTTGTGTGTGTGTGTTTGTGTTAGTTGCTCAGTTTTTGTCCTACGCTTTGGACCCCATGGACCTTAGACGATGCTGAAGCAAGAAATAGGACTGTTCTAGGTATGGGTGCCACAAAAACTGTGTCCAGAAAGCACAATCTGTGTGGAAATTTTATTCGAATTAAGAAATATGTGCTAGCAAAACTGTTCATTTGTACACCTTTGGTCATTTTCCATAGTTGTTTTATAAAGTCTTTTGTATTTCGAAGGACTTCAGCCTCAAAAAGCCTCCATGAAAATAGTTTGGTTTTATCCCTTCTGTTCAAGATAGGAAAAGAGCCACTACAGCCGGGTAGTTTTAGAAAGTAAAGGCTGGCAAAGCAGAGGACAGCTGGGTTTTCTAGGCCCTTCTGCCTGAGCTTTAATTTTTTTCTTTTTCTTTTTTTTAAGAGCTCACTGTTATCAAGCTCTTGGATTTGGTGCTGCTAGTTTCAAGGGCCATAGGAGGCAGTGGGAGGGGAGGGACATAGAACGGAGGGGAGGAAGAAAAAGGGAATTAGTAGATAACTGGAAAAAAGCAATAGTGAACCTTCTTCTCATAGTTTGAGCAGCGGCCTGCTTTCACAGAAAGATGGTAGGCAGAAGGAAATACTTAGATAAGAAGAGACTCCATTTGCAAACATGACTAGGGTCAGAACAATTTTCTCCTGGTCCAACTTGATTTGTACAGCATAGGGACCTTTGACCTATATTTGAATGTTGCCGTTGTCTTTCAGTTGAATTAATTTTGGTCTAGCAGTTATAAAAACAAAAGGAAAAGCAATCATGTATTTTAATTTCCTCCATGAAGGCTTCATCTTCTGATCTCATTCAATTTGATTAAAGTATTTAAAATTTCATGTACTTGTGGTTCAATATATTTCATAAAAAAAGGTTTTTTTCTTAAAAACTATGAATCGGTTTTACAACATAGCTATTGATCTGAGGTTGGTTTTCAAGTTAGATCTTTAAATGTAAGTAGTGTGCTATGTCTATTTCTAGAGTTGGAGAGATGGGGTGGGGATGTTTTATCTGTGGAGATACATTTATCCCAGGAAACTGTCAGATGATTGTGGTATAAAAAGAAGTGAGATGGTTCTTGTGCTTCTTCAGTGTCTATCACAGCAGTGACCACTGTTGTGGTCTGCAGACCTTGTGTTCTGGTGCCCCCCTCCTCAGCTGATGCTTCTAATACTCCGTGACTTTGATTGAGTTTATCCACCCAGTGTTTAAAATTTAAGTTGCCCATGATTGAACATGAGTTTTCATATAGGATCCGTATTTCTTACTTCTCTCGGAAAAGAACATATGTCATTCCCTGAGAGTAGCTATGTCTCCCTTTATGGAAAATGGGCTTACTCTAAGTCAGTGTAGTCCCATCTTTCTTTCCCTTTTGCTTATGAACACTGGGGCTGAATTTCATTTACTGTTTATCATCCTATATGAGACCTGATCATTCATTGACACTACATTCCTGGGCCCTGGAGGCATTCTACTCTGTAAATCCTTCTGACAAAGGTTGATCAGTTGCAGGTGAGATATGCTGGGCATCCTTAATGTTCCCCCATCATCCAGGCTGTGTTTCCTGAGGCATTCCTCTGGATGCAGTGTGAACTGGTAGAAGACAAGCTATAACTTCAGAAAATTTGTTTTTTTCTTATGATGTATCCCTTTCTAATTTTATTAAACTTACATGTGTATGTCCATCTCCCTTTTAACACTGTAAGCTCCTTGAGAAAAGGAGGCATATCGCCTTCATTTTTGATGTCCTGAGGACTTCAATTAAGAATCTAGCTCATTTAGTCACTTTGCTCGTGTTTGAGTCTTTGCTACCCCATAGACTGTAGTCCACCAGACACCTCTGTCCATGGGATTCTCCAGGCAAGAAGACAAGTGGTTGCTATGCCTTCTTCCAGGGGATCTTTCTGACCCAGGGGTCGAACCTGCATCTCTTATGTCTCCTGCGTTAGTAGGCAGGTTTTTTACCACTAGCTCCAAGTGGGAAGCCCAAATGTTCAAGGAAAGTACATTTTATAAAAATAAATCTCTCTCTTTCTCTCTTTTTTTTAGGAAAAGCATTGGCAACTTGAAAACTGTTTTTCTGTCCCTAAAAGAGACACTAATTTAATGGGAAATAAGATTCAAGAGAAAACCATAAAGGAAATTCCCTTATTTTCTAAGGAAGAATCATGTTTAGACCCATCAAAACATTCACTACTTGATAAGAAAACATACAGGTTAGTACACCTTACCTGTAAAGGGTATAATTGGCCCCCAATTCCTTCTATGCTCAGTGGAATGTCTAATGACCACCTCAAGATTCTGCTCACATTCTGGTCATTGGTAGATGTGTGTGTGTGTGGCAAGGGAAGAGATTATATTCTCAGGCTGGTATCTGATTCTTATTTCTTGTCTCTTTGTAATGATTGATTTCTATCCTCTCTTCTAGTCTTCTGTGTCTACACTCCATCATCAACCTAATTTTGGAAATTAACCCTTTTCTTCAAAAGCAGTATATGTGTGTATGTGTGTATGGACGTGTCTATCTAGCTAGCTACCTCTCTTATTAATGTATGTCAGATTTTACTTCTTGTTTTGGTAAGACACACAGTGATTTGTGGGCTTTCCAGGTGTTTCAGTGGTAAAGAATCCGTCTTTCAACACAAGAGTTGCAGGAGATGAAGGTTTGATCTCTAGGTCGGGAAGATCCCTGGAGTGGGAAATGGCAACCCAGTCCAGTATGCTTGCCTAGAGAATCCCATGGACACAGGAGCCTGGCAGGCTACAGTCTATAGATTCACAAAAAGTTGGACATGAATGAGCATGCCTGCACGCACAGAGGTTTATGTGGCAGAAGTTCAAAGAGCTTAACTTTGAATATTGAACATCACTGTCATTCTATGACTTCTAGCCTTTCCTTCCTGTTGTTCAGCCATTTCATCTCTTCTGCCACTCAGATGGATCCCATTCTTACATTTTTCTCTCTAATGCCAGGAGGTTTAAATTGCTTTTTTGTTGTTGTTGTTTGTTTTCTATATTCTTGCTAACTCATGGTCTCATAATTTCATCTTTTGTATTAAACAATTTTTTTTAGAAAACAATTTTATTTATTGTATTTTCTTTGATACAGTTGGCACTACTATTACCATGTGCCTATATTACTTTTTTAAGCTCGATGGAAAAATTGCATAGAAAGTAGAGAATTCATACATACTCTGCCCTCAGCCCATACAGTGTCAAATGTTAGTGTGGTACATTTGTTACAATCCATGAACCAATACTGACACTTTATTATTAACTACAGTCCATAGTTTACGTTTAGAGGGTCAAGTTGAGCATTTTCTGATGATGCTACCCAGAGACCTCTGCCTTGCACTTTTCTAAATTAATGCATTCTTTGACCAAACTCTTGGGGCTCAACCCCACCAGTTGGGGGTTTTCTGTTCCAGTCTCCTCACACTGGCAGCCTTACCTCTTGCATAACTTCCCTTGGGTTAGCTTCTGCTTGGCCAAAAGGAAACGCACACTTCCTTGCCGCCCCAGCTGCTCGACAGTCTCCCTTCTCCTCCTGCTCTCTGGGGCAGTTTCAGTCACAGTAGCCTTTTTCAGATATTAATTCACTGGTCCATTGTGTCCCTCTAAGGGTTATCCTGGGCAGCATGTGTTTAGCTTTCTGTGTGGCTTATGTGAATGGAAGCTAAAACGGAGGGGAAAAATCCCTCCTCTTCCATGAGGGTGGGACTCAGTCCTTACCTGTGACTCTCTCCAGTGCAAATCTCTCTTAGAATTTCTGCATCCTTAGTCTTTATTTTTATCCTAGAGTGGTGGTTGATCAGAGCATCACAAGATCAGTTTTGAAGCCACCTTCTTGACAAAGGGGACCAGCACAAGGAACCGATCTAGCACCACTTTGAAATGTAGGAATACTGTCTACCTCTTAATTCATTAATTATTTCGCTTTCAGACTTTGTGGACCTCTGTTGATAAGGAGGTAGGAGAAAAAAAAAATCCCCTTTTAAACATCCTGTTACTCTAAATTACCCTTTGGTATTTGTTCTTCCATTTTCTTGAATTATGGCTTGCTAAAATGTCAAGTGGCATTTTGTTTTCAGGCAGAAGAATCTTTCAGTTTAGAAATATAGCATGACTGATCCTGTACAAGAATAGAACGCTGAGAATGGAAAATTTGGTGTATGGTAAAATGTGCCCCCCCCCCCAGCCACCCAACTTAATCAGGAAATAAAGTTACCCCAGGGTAACATCGATTGATCATTATTTCTCTTTCTGTGACACTTCCAGAAGAGTGAATCCAAGTGTCCACAGATTCTTATTTATTTCAGCCAAATACTAATTTCCTATTCCTTATGACAATCTCAGTTATTTAATTTAAATCAGCCTTTCCTTAGAGTTCAAAATTGGCCTTTTGAGCTCTTTACTTCTTTCCAGACTTCTGTCTCATCTTATGCCCTTTCCTATTGTCCTATGACATTTGTCTTCTGAAAATCAGTGCTCATGTGCAGATTCTTAAATTCAAAGATTTTTCTTAAAGTTAGAACTTTGCATCTCCTAGATTAGATAAGACTACAGCTGAGTGATCTTCTTACCTTTGTTATATATTACTGTGGGCCTTGGGAGAAGTTTCTGGCAGTAAAAATGGAAGTTATCCCTGTTTACTGCATCTTTTCAAGTGACAATATATCCAAAAATATCTGTGATCTTTAAAATTTCTGCCTTTAATTCAAATGGGTAGTTGGCATAATTTAAAAAAAATTTGTAGTAATGAGATAGTACAGAATACTGTCATTTTGTAATTTTTGAACTAATTGGAAGAAAAAAATTAAAAACATACCCTTAGAATTGACTTGGCAGTCAATTCTTGGCAACTCTGACTTCTCCCAGAAACATGTTCATGAATCCTATGGAGAAAACCTACAAATACAATACAACTCTCAGAAGTAAAGTATCTTTCGTGGTCTTCATCTAGTATTGAAGAGATTATAGATTACCTTTTACCTAAGAAAATATTATTCTGAAGAATGTGCCCTATTCCTAATCAGATCAGGAAATTCAAGGAGAAATCATGCCAGTTCTCATCTATATGCAAAAGTATGAAAGAAAAGTAAATACATGAAAGAATTTAGAGAGACTAAAAGGGGAAAAGCACATTTGGTGTACGTATGCAGGTGGGGAGATGTTTAAATGAAGAGGGAGGAAAATAAGAAAGATAGAGATACAAAAAGAAAAAGCAAATAGGAAACAGAAGAAGCAGGAATAATGAAGGAAAAAATTAAATCATGTAAAGCCATGTTCTCACCTTAACTCCTAAGACTCTCTTTCCAGGATAGAATCTTTGCATTTATTATGTTCTGTCTTATACATAAACACCAGGTTTCCATAGATTTAAGATATTTTATGATATTATGTGTGAGAAGGTAAGGTAGGTGGTAAAATGTCATCTTCAATTTAAACGCGAGGAGATGAAGATGAATATGGAGTTTAACAGAGAATAGGAAGTTCTAATGCTTAGTTAACAATTGACCCAGAGAAATAGATTTTTCCCTTCTATAGTTTCTACAAAAGTCATATTACTATCAGAAAATGGGAAAAAAAGAAAATGACTAAAAAGATAAAATGGAGAAACAAAACCACAGTGTACATGCATTTTTTTTAATCTATGGCAATATTTGGTTTCTGGACTCACACAGAAGTATTCAAATCTAGATAAATTACAGATAAAATGAATAATTTAGGCAATATAACCTTAGAATATGTCTTTATTATGAAAATAATACATGTCCATTAGGGGAAAAATTGGAAGTACAAATAAGCAAGACGAAAAAGATGAAAAGAAATCATTAACAGCAAAACCACCACTAACACTTAGGCATTTCACTCTTCAGGTCTTGTTCTGAGCATGCTAATGCAACTAAACAAATATGCATTTTATAAAGGTGAGGATGTAAAATACATAGTTTGTAACCTGTTTTACAACCTAAAAAACATAGAGGTAGTACATTTCCATGTTATTTAATATGAGTGTCCCCAGATACCAATATTCGTACCACCTCCTTAGGAATTATCATGTACCTTTCTAAACATTCTCTTCTTTTAAATATTTAAACTGTTTACAAGTTTTAACTGTGAACATTTATTTTTTTTTTAATGATTACCTTCTCTTTTATATTTTTTATTTATTTTTTTTCCCATTTACTTTTATTAGTTGGAGGCTAATTATTTTACAATATTGTAGTGGTTTTTGCCATACATTGACATGAATCAGCCATCAATTTACATGTGTTTCCCTTCCCAATCCTCCCTCCCGCCTTCCTCTCCATCCAATCCCTCTGGGTCTTCCCAGTGCACCAGCCCTAAGCACTTGTCTCATGCATCCAACCTGGGCTGGTGATCTGTTTCATGCTTGATAATATACATGTTTCGATGCTGTTCTCTCGAAACATCCCACCCTCGCCTTCTCCCACAGAGTCCAAAGTC